TAGTTGAGTACTCTGAACGATTCAAAAGTCAAATCGAGGAACGTACTCTAAACAAACATGTAAACAAGGTAAATTATTATTTTACATTTAAATACCATATCTTTATTCAATTTGAACTAAAATTATTGTCTATAGTGCATTGAACTCTGCTTTGGCAAAGAAATGCGCTTAACAGAAGTAGGAAGTGTTACATCAAGTGTTCGCAATCGAATCGCAAAGTTTTTGGATGAATACATGAAAAAATTGATCATTTCGATTAAGGGAGCGAAAAACGATAAGGAAAAGAAAGAAAAGGGAAAAAGGAAGAGGAAAGAAAGAGATGAACCTGGGGACAATTACAGTAGTAAAAAAGTTAAAATATGACTAATCGTTTCTTATGCCCACTATTAGAAATTTGTTTTATTATAATTGATAATTTTTTACTTGTAGATTGTATTTATAATCGAACAATGATTAGTTATTTGAGTTTATGATTTAGAACAAAAATTGTAATAGGCATATATACATTCACCGAATATTTTATAGAATCATTGAATCTGATCGAACGGCAGATGTAGTTATATATAAAATTTGTATTTTAATAAATTTGTTCAGATTTATCTTCTTTTTAAATAAATCTGTATATGAATTTAAAGTTTTTGATAACGATAGTGAAAATGTCTTATAATTAAAAATCGATTAATAAATAGAGCCAAACGAGCTAACATTTCCTAGAATTATGCTCAATGGTGTAATAACGTTCGTTTAAAAGTACTTTAAAGTATCATCCCGAAATAAAATTGGATGATGCTGAAATTTTGACTTATTTTATTATGAAAAATTAAAATTTTTTGGGGGTGTTTTTTTTTCATAGTTCGATTAGAAGTTAGGGATAGTGTTTATAATAAAGAAGCATAGGTGGATTTTAATAGGGTTTATATTTTAAAATAAGAATCCCCGACAATAATTGTGGCAGCTTATGCTGAGAATTTGAAATTAACAGTTAGGGGTTTAGAGTTAGTATTATTAATGAGTAGAAATTTTAGGGACCCCCGAAGATATTTTTAAAACCTATTTATTTTAAGTTTAAAAAAGTCTTCGGCCAAATTAATTTTAAATTAAGCCTTTCGAAAAAACGTCTCGGTGTGTCGAGGTATAAACGTTCTAAATACAGTCAGGAATTTTACCAAATTTGGGGGTCGTTTAAAGGGGACGGTCTACCGACACAGCATCCACGCGATTTATCTTCCTATCCGCACAGCAACCTGGTCCCCGTTTTTTAAATTGATCAATTCATGGAATATAACTTACGATTAACATTAATTGGTGATTCGCCAGTCAACCAGAGAGAGGTCATAGTATAACGTGACGCGGTTTATATATAGAAATTAGGGTTTTGCGAATGTGGGCTGCATCATTCTAAAACTTTTTTTCGTACTAAGTTAACCACCTTTAGG